TAATTTCTTTTTTCATAAATTAATTAATCTGTATAAATAAAAAAAGAAAGAAAGAAAGAAAGAAAAAAAGAAAGAAAGAAAAAATAATATTAATTTTTAACTAATTAATAAGTTATTTTTTAATTTTTATTAAATAAAATAAAAATTTCAATTACTCATTAAAAGTTATTAAAATAATTTAAAAATAAATTTTACAGGCAGATTGTTAGTTACAGAAAAAATATACCACAAATAGCAATAGAACGTCTATTCTTAAATTTAAATTTTCGTTATTTGTTATTTGGTTATTTAAGCTCAAAAATTCAAAATATTTAAATAGTTATCACAATAATAGTATTAACATTTTAAGGTAGGTTGTAGTAAGTTTTTTGGAAGATATGAGTAATAAACATCAAAATATATTTATTTACTATTAATTGCTCAGTGTTTTTTAAATGAATCGAGATGTTTCTCAGTAAGAAAAGTTTCTTGTTTAAAAAATATATTTCTAATAAATAAAACATTTTTTTTTAATATTCATGTCTATTAAAAAAATTTATCAAATATTTAAAACAAAACATTTTAAAATATATATTTAATAAAAACATTAAAATTAATTTTATATTAGCAAATTAAAAAACAAATATTTCAAAATTATTAAATGTTTTTAATCAAAACACAGTTGTGATAGAATCTTCATCATCTTCATCATCATAATAGGTGTCTTCACATTCAAAATGTAAAACAAGATCTTCACTTTCACAAGTTACAGAGCTTGATGAATAGTAATCAAAGCTTTTTTCTTATAGGGATTTAAGTGTTATGTAAGCTTTTTTAAGCTTTTTGAGAGATTAAGCTACAATCTTTCTTTCTTCAGTCAATCTAGCATCTTCTTTAAGATTTTTTTCCATAGCTTCTTTGCATTCATTGCTGAAAATATCGTTTACAACATTTAAGAAGAGTGAATTACATAGACTGTTGATAAATAAAGTCTATATGAATTATGGAATTTAATCACTGATCTATTTTCTAAAGTTTTCCAAATATTAATAAAATATGATAGAATATCTCATAATTTCGTCAGTATTGTATTTTTCGTCAGTCTTCAATACAACATCATTATATTCTGAGCTTGAAATGGTTTTTCCTGACAGCTATTCTGATTTATGAATTATATCAAAAATAGTCCATTTCATGAAATTTGTGTTTTTAGTAATATATTCATAAACAGATTTTTTCTAATTAGCGACCAAAGAATTAATAACAAAAGATTACTTTAAATTAGTTTCATAGCCATGAACATCAATCGTTGTTGAATATATGGATTCTTTATAGCATTTGAATGTTGTTTCGATATGAGCTTTAGTTAATTTAAATTCTTTTGTAATATACTTTGAAACTAGATCTTAAATCATTTTCTTTATAAAGTGGTTAGGATAAGGATACTAATCAATGCAGAAATATAGTACTTTCTTTAAATATTCCTTTATACTTTCAAGCAACTCCTTGGCTTTGTGCTCATAGTGACTTACATGCTATCTTATCTAAGATTGGAGGGCCTAGAAAGGAATAAATCCGTTAACAGGAATTCTAAACTTCTAAAGTTCGTGCTAGACTTTTTTCATATCAACATTTTTGAGAGATTGAATGAATAATTCTCTATTTTATTCTGAATAATGATCCATTAAAAAGTCAACATAATTTCTACCCATTCTTTCTCCAACTTAGATTTTTTCAATATTTTCAACTTCAGTTAAATCAAAGTCTTACATAGCTTGTTTGAAAATATTTAAAGATTTGTTAATTATATCTCTCAGCTCTTTTTACTATTTGTTGATATCAGTAGGGAAAGGATCGCCTAATTTTTTTCTTGACTCTATTCTTTAAAGAAGAGTAGAATAGATCTTTTTAAAAATATCTGGCAAAAAGTGACGAATGTGACTATCTAATAATGTAGAAAGTTTATGAGTTAAGGCAGCTGTGCCAGTATAATCAGCAAACTCTTTGTAAACTTCATGGTTTGAAAAATATTCTTATTCATTTTTTATAGCTTATTCAACTGTGATATTGTTATTTATATCATTTTAATTACGAGGTTTCATACCATAATATCTATGCTTAAGTGGAATTTACTAATTTCTTAACACTTTCTCACAATTTGTGCCTGGATTCATTATATCTATCATAGTAAGTACTCCAATAGTACGACTACCAGTTTTATCAACATTTCTAGCAAGCTTCAAAGCAAGAGAGTTTTCTAAATCCTAGTTGATAGGAATAACACAAAGGATAATTGTAGTTTCTTCTTTGATGTATTTTAAAGTCATGTCTTGAGTAACTTTTTCAACATCGACCTAGTCTTCGATAGAATTCAAAGTCATACCTGGTAAATCAATTAAAGTCAAAGTAGGGCATTTAGTCTAGAAGATAGTCAAAGTTATTGCTTGATCAACAATCTTTTTACCTACTCCAGCTTGCTCCTTTGTAATTGTTTCAATTCTTTTTTTTACTTCTTCAAAATTTTCATATGTTTTGCTTCTTTCTTCAAAAAAGTAAGCGTAGGGCTTAAAATCTTTAGCATAGCTGGTTACTTCAATGAGTCTTATTTCTAAAGGACAACGAGTCACTACTCCAGTACCTCTAGGTAAAAAGTCTATCTAGACAATTTACTCTAGAAGTGAAGACTTACCTGAAGATTAAACACCAATAACTACTATTTTAGGAAGCTCAATTTTATCAGATTCTACTCCAAAATCTCTAAGATTATTTACAACCTTGATAACTTCTTTAATGTTTTGAAAGCTATTTGTAGAAACACTGCTTGTCATTTTTTTTGCTTTTTTTTTTTACTTTTTGTTTTTATTCTTAAAAATTTAATTATTATTATTTATTTTTATCTCTTTTTAAAATAAAAAAAATATCCAAAATAGAAAATGTAAGACTCCAAATATTTTTTATTTTTTAAAAGTGTTGTATCTCAGGTTTTTAATTAGAAATAATGATTCTATCAAATGATTCGGAATTTATAAGTTTATCTCATTAATAGGAAATTTAATCTACCAATTATGGTTAACTAAACAAATTTAATTAAGGAAATGTAAGTGTAAATATTATTCTTAATAATAAAAGTGTTTTATCTCAGATTTTTTAATAGAAATAAAAATGTTTGCAATAAAAAATACGCTAGCATATCAAAATATTCAAATTATTTTGTATTTTATTATATCAAAATTAAGTCTTTTTTCCTATTTTCCCAACTATGCAATCATATGATAAAAATAAAAATTCAATCAAGAAAATTTTATATATTTTCCTTTTAATTAAAAAGTTTTTATCTCAAATTTTTAGTTAAGCAAATATTTTTTTTTACAAACCATTTAATATTTGTCTCTATTTTTATTAAGAGCATATTATTATCTAGAGAATCTAATATAAAAATAGAAATTATTATGCTAATTATATAATTATTTATTCATAATATTGAATGAATGATACTCTATAAAAAAAATAGATTTAAAATTACTTAAATATAGGGTGTCAGGAAAAGATGAATTGTCTAATTAATAAAAAATTAGAATGTTGGATATAGCAATAAAAATTAAAAATGAAATATTGTATTTTTCAATTGCAAATATTTTCTTGACACACCATATATTTATTTTGCAAAACATATTTATCAAAAAATTTTAATAATCAAAAGCTTATTTATTATTTATAAAATACTAATACCTATTTGCAAATTAATTTTAAAATTTGATTTATTTTCTTTGCACGAATAATTTAGATTTATGAAATAAATACAAATTCTTAATTAATTCATTTGTAATTAAGTAGAAATAATAATTTCTTCATATTTAAATTAAATATCTTTTCCTGATAAAAATAATCTTTGATCAATGTTTATTTATCAAAAAGATTTTAATGAAGAACATATAACTATGTAAGAAAAATTACTTGATTTTATTGACAAAAGTATTTTATCTCAACTTTGAATTGTTTTTATTATTTCATAAATTATTTTGTAATGCTTTTTACATTAAGACGAAATTTATGATGGAATTAAATATTATAATAGGGTTAATACGATAAATAAATCATTCATAAAATAATCTTTTGGATGATTAAATAATGCTATTTTCAAAAAATAATTAAAGCTTCAGTCGTTTTAACATTTTTACTAAAATTAATTATCAATTTTATTACACATTTTTTAGGCAAGAAATAGATCATTTGAAAAAAATAAAAATAATTTATCACAAAAGCAATAAAAAAGTATAAAATTATCAGATGAAGTTGCCATAAAATGATCTATACTTATATAAAAAAACACATTTTTGAGGAATAAATAAAAAGCTTTTTTATTACAAATGGAAATATTTTCTAATTGATTAAGATTACTTATTTGAGAGTATCTTAAAATGTGATATAAAATAATTTATTACATTTAAGCTAAAATATCTTGGCGTAATGACCAACTTAATTAGAAACAAAATAATTGCTAATTTAGTTTATTTTATCTGCTAAAAAATAAAAAAAAAATATCTTTTTTTCATCCTAAAACAATTATATTTTTTTCTTTCATGCATAGTTACTTTCAAAAATTTACTTTTATCTTCTGAAAAATATATATTGTATTATATTTTTTATTATATCTTGCATTTAGTTAAATAATTTAATTTAATTTAAAAGTGTTAAGTTCAAATTTCAAAATATTTAAATTGTTATCATAATAATAGTATTAACATTTTAAGGTAGGTTGTAGTAAGCTATTGTAAGATATGAGTAATAATATCAAAATATATTTATTTACTATTAATTACTCTATCTTTGTTAAATGAATCGAGAAATTTCTCAGTAAGAAAAGTTTCTTGTTTAAAAAATATATTTCTAAAAAATAAAACAATTTTTAAAAATATTCAGGTTTATTAAAAAAATTTATGAAATATTTAAAATAAAAAACATTTTAATATTTTAATAGTAATATTAAATAATAGCAATTTAAAATTATTAAATTTTTTTAATCAAAACACAGTTGTGATAGAATCTTCATCATCTTCATCATCATAATAGGTGTCTTCACATTCAAAATGTAAAACAAGATCTTCACTTTCACAAGTTACAGAGCTTGATGAATAGTAATCAAAGCTTTTTTCTTATAGGGATTTAAGTGTTATGTAAGCTTTTTTAAGTTTTTTGAGAGATTAAGCTACAATCTTTCTTTCTTCAGTCAATCTAGCATCTTCTTTAAGATTTTTTTCCATAGCTTCTTTGCATTCGTTGCTGAAAATATCGTTTACAACATTTAAGAAGAGTGAATTACATAGACTGCTGATAAATAAAGTCTATATGAATTGTGGAATTTGATCACTGATCTATTTTCTAAAGTTATCCATATATTAAAAAAATATGATAGAATATCTCATAATTTCGTCAGTATTGTATTTTTCATCAGTCTTCAATATAGCATCATTATATTCTGAGTTTAGAATGGTTTTATCAGACAGCTATTCTGATTTATGCATTACATCAAAAATAGTCCATTTCATGAAATTTTTGTTTTTAGTAATATATTCATAAAGAGATTTTTTCTAATTAGCGTCTGATTAATTAATAACAAAAGATTATTTTATCTTAGTTTCAGATCCATGAACATCAATAGTTTTTGAATATATGGATTCTTTATAGCACTTGAATGTTGTTTCGATATGAGCTTTAGTTAATTTAAATTCTTTTGTAATATACTTTGAAAGTAGATCTTAAATCATTTTCTTGATAAAGTGGTTAGGATAAGGATACTAATCAATGCAGAAATATAGTACTTTCTTTAAATATTCCTTTATACTTTCAAGCAACTCCTTGGCTTTGTGCTCATAATTACTTACATACTATCTTATTTAAGATTGGATGGCCTAGAAAGGAATAAATCCGTTAACAGGAATTCTAAACTTCTAAAGTTCGTGCTAGACTTTTTTCATATCAACATTTTTGAGAGAATGAATGAATAATTCTCTATTTTATTCTGAATAATGATCCATTAAATAGTCAACATAATTTCTACCCATTCTTTCTCCAACTTAGATTTTTTCAATATTTTCAACTTCAGTTAAATCAAAGTCTTATATAGCTTGCTTGAAAATATTTAAAGATTTGTTAATTATATCTCTCAGCTCTTTTTACTATTTGTTGATATCAGTAGGGAAAGGATTGCCTAATTTTTTTCTTTGCTCTATTCTTTAAAGAAGAGTAGAATAGATCTTTTTAAAAATATCTGGCAAAAAGTGACGAATGTGGCTATCCAGAAATGTAGAAAGTTTATGAGTTAGGGCAGCTGTACCAGTATAATCAGCAAACTCTTTGTAAACTTCATGGTTTGAAAAATATTCTTATTCATTTTGTATAGCTTATTCAACTGAGATATTGTTATTTATATCATTTTAATTACGAGGTTTCATACCATAATATCTATGCTTAAGTGGAATTTACTAATTTCTTAACACTTTCTCACAATTTGTGCCTGGATTCATTATATCTATCATAGTAAGTACTCCGATAGTACGATTACCATCTTTGTCAACATTTCTAGCAAGCTTCAAAGCAAGAGAGTTTTCTAAATCCTAGTTGATAGGAATAACACAAAGGATAATTGTGGTTTCTTCTTTGATGTATTTTAAAGTCATGTCTTGAGTAACTTTTTCTACATCGACCTAGTCTTCGATAGAATTCAAAGTCATACCTGGTAAATCAATTAAAGTCAAAGTAGGGCATTTAGTCTAGAAGATAGTCAAAGTTATTGCTTGATCAACAATCTTTTTACCTACTCCAGCTTGCTCCTTTGTAATTGTTTCAATTCTTTTTTTTACTTCTTCAAAATTTTCATATGTTTTGCTTCTTTCTTCAAAAAAGTAAGCGTAGGGCTTAAAATCTTTAGCATAGCTGGTTACTTCAATGAGTCTTATTTCTAAAGGACAACGAGTCACTACTCCAGTACCTCTAGGTAAAAAGTCTATCTAGACAATTTACTCTAGAAGTGAAGACTTACCAGAAGATTAAACACCAATAACTACTATTTTAGGAAGCTCAATTTTATCAGATTCTACTCCAAAATCTCTAAGATTATTTACAACCTTGATAACTTCTTTAATGTTTTGAAAGCTATTTGTAGAAACACTGCTAGTCATTTTTATGCTTTTTTTTTCTTTTTCTTTTTGTTTTTATTTTAAAATATTTAATCATTATTATTTATTTTTATCTCTTTTTATAATAAAAAAAATATCCAAAAAATAAAATGTAAGATACCAAATATTTTTTATTTTAAAAAAGTGTTTTATCTCAAACTTTTAATTAGAAGTAATAATCTATCAAATAATTTTCAATTTTATATGTTTATTTCACTAATAGGAAGGTCAATTTACCAATCAAAATCAACAAACAAATTTAATTAAGAAAATGTAAGTGTAAATACTATTCTGATGAATAAAAGTGTTTTATCTCAGATTTTTAATAGACGTAATAATTATTACAATTTTGTGCAACCATACAATCTATCTTACAATAAATAATAAAAATTCAATCAATAAAATTTCACATATTATTCTTATAAATAAAAATTTTTATCTCAAGTTTTAAGTTAAGCAAATAAAATTTATAACAAATCATTTCATCTTTTATTTCTTTTATATATATAAGTATAGTACCCTAGAGTACTGTCTTTTTCAAGGCTACATACAAATAGAATACATAGGTAGAATAAAAATTAAAACTAAAATATTGAATTTTTAACAATGACCGGCAAATATTTTCTTTTAACACTATATATTTATTTTACCAAGCATATTTATCAATGAATTTTTAATCATCCAAAGCTTATTGTTTATAAAATTCTAACATTGATTGGTGATTATTTTAAAATTTGAGCTATTTTCTATTCAGGAAGAATCTTGATTTAAGATATTACACAAATTTTTAATTAATTTTTTTGTAATTAAGTAGAAACAATAAGTGCTTCATATCTCAATTAAATATCTTTTCCTGATAAAAATTGTGTTTGATCTATTTTTATTTATTAAAAAGATTTTAATCAATATTGTAAATTTGAAAGAAAACTTACTTAACTTTTTTGACAAAAGAATTTTATCTCAAAATTTAAGTATATTATGTATTGATAAATTATTTTGTTTTCCTTTTTATTTTAAGAGGAAATGTAAGGTTTATTATAAATGGAATTAAATATTAGAATAGGTCTTCATATAATAAATACATCATTGATAAAATAATATTGGATGATTCAATAAATTTATTTCCAAAAAATTAATTAAAACTATCAATTTTATTTCACATTTTTTAGGCAAGAAATAGTTTATTTGAGATAAAATTAAATATAATTTATCACAAAAGCTATTAAAAAGAATAAAATTATAAGATGAAGCTGGTAAAAAATGGTCTGTTCTTATATAAAAACATATTTTTGAAGAATGTAGCGTAGCTTTCTATTTTCAAATGGAGATTTATAGTAATGAAAATAACTCATTTGAGAGTATCTTAATATGTGATATATAGATAATTTATTGCTTTTAAGCTAAAATATCTTGGTAATGACGTACTTAACTAGAAAAAAATAATTACTAATTTAGTTTATGTTATAGCTAAAAAATGACGAAAAAAAGCTTTTGTATTCCTAAAACCTAAAACTAATTTATTTCTTTCTTTCTTTTTTCTTTTTTTAAAGGCACAATAACTATTAAAATTTTACTTTTATCTTCTTAAAAATATATATTGAATTATATAATTTTAATTATCTTACACTTAAAACTTTTAATTTTGGTTAAATCATTTATTTTGAAATGGTGATTATTTATTTGTTCAAATACATAATTATCAAAAATAAACAATATTTTAGGAAGTATTTTCTGTTTTTGCTAAAATGGAATTAAATAAAAATTATGAAAAATTTTGATATTTTTTTGTGCTTTGTTGCATCTAATTTATAAGTTTTTGAATGAATTTTTAATTTGATGTTGACGACAAATATTTTATTGATTATAATCAGGGGTATATATTAGATTTTATAATTGACAAATGGCTTTTGTCAAAAATTATATTTTGAGCAGAGTTTTTGTAATTTTTATTAATTTTTTTGAATCCACGCACTATTAAAAATCAAAATAAATTATCATTAATTTTTTTTATTTTGTTTTTAGAAATCTATTTTAAATTAATATGAAATTTTATTTTTTTTATTAATAAATTTATTTGCTTGATCACTCATTATCAGCGATCAAGCATTTTTAAAATAGTAAATTGCTATATCTTTTCATAGAAATTTATATTTAAAAATAAAGTATTCAAGTTAAAAATTTATATACTTAGTATTTATTTTCTTTTTAAAAAGTAAATCATTTGGTTAAAGATGAAATCTTAATAGAATAAATCTAATTTTATTATCATTAATTTTAAGAAAATTTTTAGGAATAAATTTTAATTGTAATTTTCATTGCTCAATTAAAAATATATTTATTTGAAAATCAAAATAATCCTTTAATGGAATAATTTTTAAATTCACATTTTCAAATTTTTAATAATAAATATTTGATTATGATGTAATTAATAAATAAATAACATTTATTTGTAAAGAATATATTGAGTTAGTTATATTTTCAATGAAAGAAAAATCCATTCCTCTTTGCTGGAACATTTTAATTTTTCAAATTAGATTCATATCTTTCTATATTTTCTAAAAGCAGTAATATTTATTTTCTCAATTTTTCAAGACTGACTGTTAGGATCTTTAGATTGTGATTTGAAACCACGAATCTAAATAAATTAGCATCCTGGGAATTTTCTATAGGGAGTTGTTATATATTATTTTAAGTTTTAATGTTTGTAAGACTTACAGGAGTTTATTCATCATTAAATCGGATAACAGAATTTCTTTTAAAGTTTTATACTATAGAAGGATTAACTTGGGATTATTATTAATTTTTTATTTCCTAAATATGATCCTAATATTTCTTCCAATGAAAATACTGATATTCTTTAACAGTTGTTTCTTTATAATTATTGCTGCTTCTGTTACGACTTAAATGAGATATTAAAATTGTAGGATTTTTTTTCTTTTCTGGTTCATTATTTTGTGAAAATAGTAAAGAATTTTATATACGCTAGTATATTTGATCCTACTCTTTAGAATGTTCTCGCTCTTAAGTAAACTTAGAATAGCGTAATTTTATGTTTCTTTATGAATTTTCACTTTTTAATTGCTCCATTCTTTCATTTTCCCTCTGTTCTTATTTTTAAAGGTCTTGCTACAATATTTCTCTTAAATAATAATCAGGCTCTTCGTCACTTGAGTCTGAGAAATTTACTTCCTCTATGTCAGTGTTTTGATTTTTCATGCGAATCTTTTTAGTTTTTTTCAATTTTTCCTAAAACTCTTCTGTAAACTCGATATTTTTTTATTAGTCACTGTACTTCAATTTTTGTTTAAAGTTATCAACAGCTGACTGTTTAGCTTTAGAGTCTTCACCTTCTACAATATCAAAGCACAGTCTTTAATGTAATCTTTGAGCTAAGGGAATATCACACTCATAATAAAAAACAATTCCCAATTCATCATATGATTATAGTTCAGAATCCCTGTCATCAAGAAACCATGAAAGTAGCAGCATTTTCATAAATTAAGATTTGGCCTAGCGTAAGTCTTTGATAAGTTTAAAGCATAAACCCAAATGCTTGTGCATTTTTAACTTAAATTTATAATCTTTATATTAATTGGCTAGTCGTTTGGCAGCCAAGAAAGACTTCAGTGCATTATAAATATTACCACATTAGTATGAGAATTTTCCTTAAATTGAATATAGTCTAATCAAAAAGTAATAAGAAAACTGCTAATTTTGTTAAAGTAAGTTAATTATGTTGCCTAAGAAATCAATAAATTGATTATATTGCCAAAAGCTAGCATTGTCATTTGAAGTTAATTAATTGATATTTTCTACTATTTCCATCATAGCATTCAAGCATTTTTATTCGAATTTATTTTTTTTAAAGACTAACTCAACATTATTTTTTGCATATATTTTTTCTTTTAATGTGTTCCAAAATTCTATTAAGTCTCCTTAGTTTTTTACATTTAATCCTTTAGAAATATATATTTTGTTTGACTTTTTTGTTGCTTAATTTTCTAAAAATTATTAAAGTCTTGATTATTTCGAAATATTTTGCTACTTTTAAATAGTATTAACTATTTTTTATAAATTATTTTTATACATTTTATCTAAGTTAGGAACACTTTTGGTCATAAGAATCTTTTGCTTATCATTTAAGTCACCACTTGAATTTTAGTTCATTTCATCTTATTTTTCCTATGCAACTGCTGAGAGATTAAATTGTATAGTGTTTTTCTAGTTTGATGATGTAGCGTGCTTGTATAAGTCACTTTCAGTTTTGTATTTTAAAAACGCTCCATCTTAGATAGTTTTTTCGTTTTAATCTAAGAAAAAAATTTATCTATCTGGTATTTTGACAGATTAGTTGTTTAAGGTATCTTCTTTTTTCAAATTTAATTTTTCCCTCTTAGAATTGTTTGAAGAGAGAGTTGGGGATTTTTATTGCTAACTTTAATTAGATACGCACTTCTTAATTGCTAAACTGGTTAGCTATTTAGAAATTTGTTAATTTTGATTTTTGCTTTATTTTAAGCTAGATTTTAATTACGAGTGCTACTAAAAATTAGTAGAAATATTCTTTATAGTGGCAATAATGTTTTTTTGCTAATCGCTCACCTGACTTGAATGAAGAATTCCATCCTAATTTTATTTTGAAGTCTTTCTTTATTTATTTTCATAAGCAGTACTGATGGAATGCCTGCTCATCTATTACTATATATTTATTTAATTTTATGAAGCTATAGGTGAATAATATCCATCAATAATATTATCTTAAGACCTTTGTATATTTTATGCTTATTCGGACTCTCTATTAAAAATAGGTTTCATAGAGAGTCTTCTTTGATTCAAGTGCTCAAATTCAAGTTGAGGATTAGAAAATTCTTCTTCTTAAATCTTGTCTGTTTTATTAACCCATAATTTAGTATTTTCGTCTTTTGTTTTAGGTTATTAAAAAGTATTCTTTTTATCATTAACTTATTATACTTAGTGAGAAGTTTATTTAAGAGTTATTAATTTTTTATTAGTATCCTTTTCTTTCAGAACTCTCTTTGTTTGTGGGCTAATCTCTCTACCTTTTCGATGATCTTCACACCTTGAAGTGCATGATTATCTCTCAGTAAAAAATCCATTAATAATTATCTTGCTCCTGAAATTTTCAATGCTTCGTTTCCTTTCCTTTGAAGCTCTGCTATATAAAAAAAAGAGCATTTTAAAAATGAATCCGCAATCAAATAAATGAACTTACTTTGTACAAGAAGATGAATCTATATCTAAGCTCTCTATAGAATTAACTTAATTGGCATAACCGCTAATTACTTTGTTTAATCTTAATTAAGGAACTAAATTATTTGATTTGCTTTATTGAACTCCTTTTTATTCATTTTAAAAGGAATTTACCCTAGATTAGGTAGTATTTTATTAAATGGAGCTTTAATTTTATGCATTATGCTAAAAATATTCAGTTCTAACATTTTCTAGTGTTTATTTGCTATTATTTACTTGTGATGAATTCATTCCTCCATAAAATGTCCCAGAAAATACTCCATTCTAGTTATTAGTAAGAGATAAATTAAGTGTAGTTTATTCAGGTGAGCTTAGTTGCTCAGATCTCAATGTAGAATATCTAATTTTTTTAAAGGGAGTGGAAATAGGAGAGTTGGCATACTAGTCATTCATTTAATCTTCTTTAGCTATACTATTAAGTATATTCTTTGAACGAATAATTTTGTTAACATGGCCATTATGAGGTACTAGCCTATTAGTATTTCCTTATTTATTATCTTGTGCTTATTATTAATACATTTACTATGTAGATTATTTGCTCACAAATTTATAAAAAACTGAATTACAAAGTATTAAATATTTACTATTAAAAATATATAAGCAAGCAAACAAGCAATCATTAGTTACAAGTAAAATCAGAATTAACAAAATATATAGTAATAGCTGTTTTTACAATGGCTAATAATAACCCAACCAATTTAATATATAATAGATAACACCTTACATAAATTTATTAATTTTTATCAATAACTATTAAATTTTAAAAATTAACATTTATTTTTAATTCCTATGTTATTATAATAATTAGTATTTTATTTTAAATTTAACTTATCTGTTATTGATTTTCATACGTTTTTTACTAGTATTTTCTTTATTAGTCTAAATTTGTAAATGATTTTTTTTCTAAACACAAAAATAAAAACATATCAAATTTAATTTTTATTTATTTAAAGGCAATTCATATAATGCTAAAGAGTTAAAAAAATATATTTACAGGAAACAATTTTTTATATCTAATCTATTTGTTAATAAGTTAGCTGATTAGATATTTATGAGAAAAATTAATTTCCAAAATCTTTTAATTATTTTATTTTATTTAATATTATAAAAAAAATAAAAAATAAAAGAAATCTTCATATTATTTATTTTATTTTTATTAAAATGATATTTCATGATTTGTTATATTTTAATAAATATTTTACATAAAATTAAATTTAATAAGAAATCATTGTGAATTTTATTTTCTATTTTAATTTTTTAAGAATTTCTTTTTACATTTAAAAATAATTAATTAAAAAATATTTTGAGAGATTTAAAATTATTTAAATTCTACATGAAGAAAAAAGTAAAGATATAATTCTAAAAACTTTAAAAAACTATAAATAAACCAATGAATACGCAAACATATTGAAATATTCTTGATTATTTATTTGGATTATTAAATTCTAAAATTAGAAAGTGCAAAACAAATTTATAAAATTATCAGATAAATATGAAATAATAATAATTTTTTACTTTAAGATAAAATTTATTGATAAAATATTTAATAATTTATATAGAAGAAATGTTATTTATTTAAAATAATTTATCAAGAATTTGATAACTTTTATTAATTTTAAATAAATATAATATATTATTTAATTGTTTAAAAATGCTTTATTTTTATTGGTTAGTTTTTTAAAGATAAATTAAAAAAGATATTAATTGTAATTCTGAATAAGCCTTAGATATTTTCTTTTTACTTTTATTCTAATTTATTTTAAGTTACTAATAATAAAGATTTTAGAACAATATGACTATTGATTTTATAATATTTCTTACTTAATACTATTTAGAAAAAAAACTAATTATCATCTAAGAGAGTAACAAATTTTTTTAAGTTAAAGTTAAGCTACTCTGCACTATCCTTAAGCGTCACTTTATATTAATTTAAGAGTATTAGTGATGATTTTCTAAGATAACTAAAAAAAATACTTCTTAATTTACCACTAAAAAAAATGTTTACAAATATTTTTTACATTCATAATACTAAAACACAAATTGTTTTATTTTCAAACGATTTTGCTAAAAAACTAAAATTGCTTTATGATTATTTATAGATTTATTTCAAATTTAATGCTTTAAAAAGATTTATACAAATTGATTTATTTACATTTTCTAATTCTTGAAATAATAAGAATAATCTAATAAAAGAATTTTTATTACATTTATTTTTCTTTACTTACTTATTGACGTATATAATTTTTGAGTTTTTAAAAAATAGATGTTAAATGTAGTAGTAAGCTTACTTATTATATCATTTACATATTTATAATTTATAGTGTTAGAGATAATCTTTATCAAAAAATAAATAAATAAATAATTAATTTAAAATATTTATAAACATAATTATTATTGGTTGATATTTTCATTTAAAATGAGAAAATTATATTTGAATACATTTTGCTTACTGGTATTACTTTATACAAGCAAAGTTATTTGCTATGTTGAACTTAGAGATGAACCTAACTAACCCACACCTGTACCTTTGCATACAATAAATATGGATCTACCATTTAAGGATAGATGGAGAGATGTTATTTCAATATATAAACCTGCTATTTAAAGCTTTTTCAATTATGTTGATAAAGCTGGAGTTGTCAGTAAATTATCTAGAGGATTAGCTTTTTTCGGTAGCCATTTTTATCATGACCAAGAATTTATCGAAGAAGTTAGAGCTATAGCAGAATTAGCTGAAGTTGATTTTGGGATGGCTCTCTCTCTAAACTGGCTTAATGAACTATCAACTATCCTAGCTTGCACTAGTATTGTTGCAAGAAACTCAGAAAATAGAATTATTCATGCTCGTAATTTGGACTTTGGTTTTACTAATTATTTACCTTAAATGATGGCATCAGTCACTTTTATTAAAAATGGATAACCTGTTTACTAATCTGATATGATAATGGGTACCTTAATTATAGCTAGTGGAATAAGATTTAATGGATTTGGTATAACATTAAATGATAGATTTAAAGGTGGATCATGGAATTTATATTATCTTTTAATTGCACAATATACTCCTCCATGTTACTTGATTCATTAAGTTCTTCGTGAAAAATAGACTTATCAAGAAGCTCTTGAAGCTCTGAGCAAAACAAAGATTGCTACCAATACTTATTTTATTCTTAGTGGATTACAAGGAAATGAAGGAGCTGTAATAGAAAGAAATAGAGCTGATTCTCATGCTATTTATTACTTAACTGAACAAAATTGGTTCCTTGTTTAAACAAACTACGATAGAGATATTCCTGACCCTGAAAATGATCCTAGAAGAACAGTAGCTGAAGAAAGAATGGAAGAATTACCTGCTAATTTCAATGAAGCTAATATCTTCGATGTATTAGATAAATACCCTAATTTAAATTCTTCAACTCTTACAACTGATATAATGTGTCCAAAAACAAATTATTACAATGCTTAAAAATGGTATTGAAAAAGCAATATTAAAATTATTATAAAAAAATATTTATGTGAAATTTGTAAGTAAATTGAATTAAACTTTAAAAGTAATGGCCCAAACTTTAATCAATAATTCATTGAAATTTGCATCATAAATTGATTCAAATAAAAAAATCTTTATGCAAATTTTGATATAATATTGAAAAATGAATAATTAAAATTTTAAAATTAAAATATTTTTTAGGAAATATATGCGAAATTTTGTAACTAATTACATTATTAAATATTTTACTTTTAAAAACAGAAAAGTAAGTCTTTATTTTAATGTCTTATTAAAAAAATATTGGAGCTAATTTAATTAATTAATTCATTTTTTAACATTTTATAAGATCTTATATTTTTTAAAGCATAATTTAAATTTAATTAAAAATAACTTAATATCTTAACATAATTTACAGAAAAAAACCATAATTTAATATACCTATTAAATTGATTCATCAAATAATTAAGCGAATAATTAAGCTTACAAAATAATATATTTAAAATTTAATTTAAAACAAATTCATATCATAAATTTGATAATTAAATTGTTTTATAAATTTATAATCGTTTTTATTGAATAAATAAATACATTTTAAATTGTATTTACATCAACCTACAATTAAATGAATTTAAAACATCAGCAAAAAATTAATTTAAAATATATTCCCATGAAAAAGACTGATAAACATACATAAATTATTATAAAATTTAACTATAATTAAAACGGATTCTTTGATAATGTAATATAATATCAATTCTTTTTTTGTTTAATTTATTTGTTTAGTTCTTCTGAGCTTTTATCAGGTACTATTTTGCTATAAAAGCTATTGAATTTACTGAATATTCCTTTTCTTTATTTCCATTCATCCCATCCAAAATAAACCCTGTCAGGATCCCAGTAAGTTTAACATATTCTGTCCCATACAGAAGTAAATTTACCATAGTTAGTCATTTAACCTCTTCCAGCTTCGTGGTGGATAGAATGGTGGGTACTGTACAAAAAGAGCTTGCAAGGCACTAGAGGAACATTATCGTGAATAGAAATGGCCCAGATTGTGGTAATTAATGAGAATCCAAGCAAGATGTTAATATGGAGAGGGAAGAAATAACAGCTTACAAAAGTGGGGACAGCTTAGGCAAAAGCATCAAGTGGGTGGAAAGCAAAGCCAGAGAAGGGTGTAACATCTTTTGATCTATGATGAACTACATGCAACTAATTATAAATTATGAAATTAATACAAAAGATATTTGTAATTAATTAAAAAAACATTTAATTATATTATTAAAATTTGAATTCATCAGATTTGCAAAAAAATAATTAAATATTGAGATATCAATTGATAGATAGTTAGATCTATTTAATTTCTATTGGTAATAAAATATCTAATTAAATCTAATTCTATAAAGTAGTTATCTTGTTAATGCTTTAAAAAAGCTAATCAGTTTGTTAAAATGATTAAGAGTTAAAAGAAAATACTTTGGTATATAAATAAGGGAAGGTGTGGAGCCATCTATGAACCCAGTAAGTTAGGGTTTCATCAAACATCATATGAAATAAAATGCTAAAAGGGATGTAGAGCCAACTATGATCATTGATATCATAGTAGATCATAGAGAATCTGGGCATAGCTAATCTTAATGCAGATACTAAAAATGATTCAACAAAAATGTTAATACAAGACCATTTGATATCAAATGCAATTTTTAAATCTCCTTTAAATTCAGGCAAATATTTCTTTTTCTTGTACCTATTTATGAAGTTTTTAACTCTTATTTGCTTAATTACTTTTTAAAAAAATTTACACAAAGAAATAAAAGTAGGAGGATGTAGCTGCAGTGAAGTAGAGGATGTAAGCGAAAACTATAGTATGAATCAGAGTGCAAATATATTCTATAATTATGTTACCAATTTATTAACCAGCAGAATCTAGAATAAAATTTGAGAAAGTAGGGAATAATTTATCTAATTAAATCAATCTGAGTGAAGAGCTAATGTGATCCTTGGCATCTTGCATCACCTTAACTCTATCTACATTAAAATAACCTAACTATTCAGCAATAAGCCAATAAACCATTGAGGACTTAATTTATTTTCTAATAATATTTTATGATAGTTCTATTTTAAATAATAATATTATATATAAATCTTGTTTTACTTTTCTTGAATTTATTCAACTTGATTTAGCCTTTAAGCTATTGTTATTTATTTTTATTAAAGATTGATATTTATTTATGTATGTATCTTTAATCCATTTAGCACGATTAATATAGTAAATTATTTATTATACTTTCCCAAAAACAAACAATAAATTAAATAAGAATTTTAAAATTATAATTGTAACATCATTTTTGTTAATTCCTAAGAATTCTTACACCTTAATTTTACATATCATCTTATGGAGAACATAACTAATTCTTCTCTCCAATCATCATTAATTATTCTTATATAATATTATTTGAAGCTGACATCATATATAATAAATATTATACCCTCTTTTTTTTGTTTTGATTTAAACAAACAGTTGAGTGTTCATTACTATTTCATTTGTAATTTTACATAGAATAATATTAGATAGCTTAAAAATTTCTAGTAAAAGTTTCAAATGTTAAATTTATATTTATACAACCATATGGAATACAAAATATTTAGATATTTTTTAAGTAAATTTAAAAATAAAATTAATCAGATCAGCAGATTAGTTTACTTTGTTTTATTTGCTATTACTTATTTTAATAAGTTGATTTTGCTATTTTGAAGATGCTTTAGCTACTTTGTTATCCAGTATTTAAGACAAGATGAGAAAAAATTGTATTTTTAGTGATTGTTTCATCTTCTAATGAGTTAGCTAACAGATTAAATGGGTGATCATATTCAGCAACTGTACCTTTGTCCATTACAACAACATAATCATAGTCTGCTATAGTGTTTAGACGATGGGCTATAGTAATTACAGTAGAGCCTTTAAATTTTTCAGAAATTGTATTTTATATTAGGCTATCTGTGACCATATCCATATTAGCAGTAGCTTCATCCATAATAATAATCTTACTATTCTTCAGTATTGCTCTAGCAAGGCAGAATAGCTGTTTTTATCCAACGCTAAATGAAACAGAAGCATCTCCGATATCAGTATTAAGTCCATTTTTTAAATTACTAATAATATCATAAAGTTACACTTATTACAAAGCTTAAATAACATTTAAATCACTGTAAGCATCTAAGGGATCAAGGTTTTTTCTAATCGTACCAGAAAACATGAAAGGAACTTATGGAGTAATGCTAATTTAATTCCTTAAAGTATGTAGTCCAATTTTAGATATGTCCTAACCATCAATTTTAATAAATTACTAATCTACGTCACTTTTACTGTTTTACTCTGTATCAATAATATTTTCTCCTTCTCTTAGATTCATTAAACATTCGATTATAGAGCTCTTACCAGCCCCTGTTCTACCTACACAGCCAACTCTTACTCCAGATGGAATGCTCAAATTCAAACCTTTCAAAGTTGGAGCTAACTCTCTTCTATATTTCATGTACACATTTTGCATCTAAACGTCACCTTTAATTATAAAAATCATACTTCAATTTAAAATTTGAAATTCAAATTTTTAAAAGCTACCTTTTTTTGGCCATCCAGATTCTAACAATCTTTAATCATTTTGGAATTCATAATCTCTTTCAGTAGGCAGATCACATATTTCTAATGCCCTTTATGTTGAAGACATAGAACTATTAGTGTTAATTATCTGACGCATAGACCAATAAATCTATTCAGTCATTAAAACTAAATAACTTAATGATTGACCGAATAACCCACTGTTGGTAGAACTATCTGATAAAGAAGTCAGAACTATAATACCTATAATGGAAGAAATAGTTGTTGCGAATTGTGTATACATACCAAACATACGAGACCCATCCCAAAATATCATATTAGTTCTAATGCTTTGGTTTGTAAAAAAACAAAACTTATCATAAAAATTTTGCTATTAACCATAAACTTAAACTATTTCCATTCCTTAGAGTGTCTGAGAAAAGAATGAAAAAACAGGAGTTTTACTCAGTAAATCTAAATACTTTGACTGCATAATAATTTTTTGATTAAAGCTAAACCATTTAAACAAAAGGATTAATTCGACTACGCTTACAATCACAAAATATGGCTGAATGAAACAGATTGTGATCATCAAATTTAAAAAATTAACAGGTCCTTCAATAGCGTCTATCATTCTTTATTTTAATAAATATAAACATTGAAAAGTTAGTTTAAAAAATATATAATAAATTAATACGTATAATGAATCATAGAATCCATAATATCAACATCGTTAGAAAATCTGTTTAAAATTTCTCCTCCTGAAGTTTTATCGAAATAAACAGTTGGAGTATGTATGAGCTGCTCAGCCATTTTCGAGTGAACTGAAGAATTTGTAACAATAATTTCTCTACCCAAATTAACGTATTTGATAATAAGAGTTACACAGAAAAAGAAACAAAGAATACCTGAATTAGTTCGTATAAAAATGATTAAAAATAAAATTATTTAATTATAAAAGATTACCCAAAACGATAAACAAATTTCTTTTTGATATGATATCACTGGAATCATATAAACCTAGAATCCTGTTAAAGCCTGTAAGGATTACTTCATTCAAAATATATACTAAAAATATAAACAAATAAGCCCATCCTCTTTTGTTGAAAGTGAAAAAGTTTTTGTAGGTTTTAGCTTAAACAATTTTTTCTTCACCATTATCATCTTCATTTATTTCTGCTTTCTAAGAATTGTTATTGCTTTAAAATTTACTCCCTAAATTAATTACAGTTTCTTTTTTTGTTTATTCGATTTTATCTTGGATATTTTTTTTTTATTCGTCTTTCTCTTTGTTTTCTTCATCTACCATTAAATCAGCTTACAAAAAATGTAGTTCATTTTGCACTTTTTATTAATCTCCATAAGCTACAATCTCTCCTTTTTGAATAACTAAAATATTTTGGAATTGCTTTATCTTTGAGATTTAATGAGTAACTAATAAAACAAGTTTATTTTTCAGTATATCGTTAAATACATTTTAAACAAGCAACTTAGCAACTTTAGAATCAACAGCACTAAGAGGATCATCAAGTAGATAAATATCTGATTTACTGTATACTGCTCTAGCTAAAGTTATTCTGGCCTTTTATCCACCACTTAAATTGGATGCTTTTCATAAAATTAAATTTTTAATAAAGAATTATCGAAAATAATTTTACCTTTTTCATTTATTTAGGTTAAATCTGATTACTAAAATTAAGTAAAATCAGATCTTAAACAACAAGCATCTACCACTTATTAATACCATTATTCCTCATATACCTTTCCAAATAATATATTATCTCTAACTGTACCAGGAAAGATTGAAGATTCTTAATTCTAATATGCTACTGTTCCTGATATATTGAAGTGGCCTCTATAAGAAGGTAGCTCTTTCAAACAAGTAAGAAGCAAAGTAGATTTTCCAGAACCAACCTATCCCACTATTGCATAAGTTTATCCATTCAAAAAGGAAAAATTTAATTTATTCAAAACAGGTGTACCTTACCCATCAGAATTCCACCAACCTTAGAAATCTTAAAATTGAATACCAATTTGATGATTTTTTTCTTAGTTGTTTTCATTTTATTTTAGAGATGGGAATAAATTCATAGGACTTCCTTATGAAATTTCTTTATTTAATTCTTAGTCTAATTTTTTCATACTTTAATTTTTCAATGTTATGACACTTGAAATTCTACCTAAAAATATCTTTGATTCATGCATGAAACTGAATCCATACCCGACAAAAAGCATCACTTAAAGTCTCAAAAACATGATGACTTACATAGTTGAAAAAATTTTTGCTGTATTCAGTTGAGTGGATTCTCCAAAATAGTGTATAAGCACAAATGGTACAGTTGCACTGATTAAAACTGATCCATAGCTCAAACTTTAAGCAATATAATTGTAAGTTACTTACTTTAGCAAGTATATGGTTTCCTAAGATCTTATTGTTTTGATAAATTTAATAAATGCCTTTTCCCATGCATACATCTTAACAAAATTTATCCCTTTTATTTAAAAAATAAAATTTAAATAAAATGATGAAATGATAATAAAAACTACCTTCAATTATTTCTCTTGTTAGCTTAATCCTCTAATCAGAGTATTTGTTTTTATCAGGGATATAGTTAGCAGCTTTTTTGCTTATTAAGTTTTGAATAGGTAAACAAATTATCATTAACCCAATAATCAGCAAACCCAAAGGTCCATGTCTATCTACTAAAATGTAAGCAGAGAAAGCAAGTGCCAAGGGAGAAACAAGACTTATAAATAAAAATGAAAATCTTAATTCTGCTATATTAAAATCTTTGCTTATAATATTAATAATTTTATTTAGCTGGTTATTTTTAATTGTGTATGAGCTTAAACTATTAACTTTAGCATACAAAATGGTGACTAAGCTCAAACGCAATTTAGCAGAGAGATCTTAACCTTCTTTCCAACTATTTTAGCCAGTAATGACAGAGAGAAACATACAAACAGATAAAATAGCTACCCATTTAATTTTTTCGTCCTAATAGAAAAAAAATAAATATAGAATTAGAATATAACAAAAACAAAAGAATTTTTACTGAATCATCAATTTAAACTGATTCAATGAGTTTCTAAAGACAAATAGAAGAAAAAAGACGAAGAAATGTGTCTAATATTAGAAAAATAATGCACCTAATAAAATCAACTGAAAAAACTGTAAATATAATTTTAGTCATGTTATAAGCATTTAGTGGTTATTTTTTATCATAAATCTCTTAAAGCTTTTATTTCAGTTGAACACTGTTGTATTCAACTTTTTCTTTCTCTTAAAGCTATGGAATATCAGAAAAAGTATACTTCCTAGTTTTCATAATTTTATTGAGTCTCATTGTAATTTTAAAGTAATTAACAAATAGCATCACAAAAATATAATTGAGCCCTTAATTAAAATATCCAGGTCTGTTCTCTTTAGATTTGTTTACATTTTCTTCTGTTTTGCTACTATCTTTTTTTGTTTAAATAGATTTTTTGTCATCTTTTTATTCACAAACCTCATGCATAGGATTTTCTTCATCTTAATTGCTTTAGGAATTAAGTTATGTAGATTTTGATGGCATCATTTAAATTGGAGGATTAGTAATTCACTTAGTATTTTATTTTTGAGTTTTAATTATTATATTGATAAATTGATATGTAATTTTTGCATTTTGATTAAAAGTGATTAAGATCAAAATTAATCAGAAATTTTCTTTTTGTTTGTAAATGAATCTAAAGAAATTTCTGCTATATTAAATCTATAGCTATTAATAACTTTATTGATTAAATTTAACTTTTGCTTTCTTTCTTTATTTTTTCTAAGAAATCAATCTGATCAAATTTTTTTACTTAGGATCATTAATCTATCCCTATCGTCATTTTTAAATACCCTAATATAAAAATTCAGTAACATCTAATTTTATTTAAAATTTAGCTACTTATTTTTTATTTACATTTCATTCATTATACTTCAAAATTTTGTTTTTTGAATTTTCTTTAAAAATAAAAAATAGACTTAAATTAACTTTATTCTAAATGCTATGACAATAATTAACTTTATTAACTAAGATATTTATTTATTATCTAAAGCAATCATGATATAAAGCTTAAGGATAAAATTTAACACAAAATAAATAAAATTATTATTTTATCTGTTTAATTATTAATAAATATTTTGAAAATAAGAAACAAAAAAAATAATTTAAAACTATAAATTTTATAATTTTATGATAAAAAGACAATCTTAATTAATATAGAAACATTTATAGGTATAATAACAATGCTTATACTTAAGTACAAATATAAAGCTAATTTTTTCAAAATATATTTTTATTTATTGGTTTGCTTGTGGGTTTCTATTTGCATTCCTTAATATTTACTCAATATTGTTAAAATTTTATTTAGCTTAGATTTATACTATTTAGGTTTAACTCATTTTGTTTTGTCTATCTTAATGTTCTTGTAAATAACTAATAAAAGTAAATAAATAAATAAAATATTTAATAAAAATAATATCTTGATTTTTATTTAGACAAATCAAATAATAAAAATACACTTAAAAAAATAAATATGACATTTTTAAAAAATAATATTTTTTTAAGATAGTTTTAATGAAGGAATTTTTAAAATCCTTAGATTATCTTTGCCAATATATGCATATGATTGATTAAAATAATAAATATAATCTATAGGCTTATTTTAAAGAGTAAGAAAAAAGATTTATTAAAATTAAAAAACTATTAATCAACCTAATAATTAATTAAAAAGTATTTAATTAATAACAATCTTAATTATATTTTTTAAAATACAATAATTTCAGTATTTTTCATAAAATTTTAATCTATAAAAACTCTTAAGTTATATATTTAATATAAAGAATTTAATTTATTTAAGAATTCTTTCTTTTTTTATCAATTTAGTTTTGTAAAAAATTACAACTGTAAGTTAAGAGCAGTGCACAAAAAGTATAAGCAGTATTTCAAATCATTTTATTCTTACTTATTATTTAATTTATTTATACAAATAAAAAATTTAGATAAAATTTAAAAAGTAAAATCATGATATAAATGAACTAAAATATTTTTTAATAAAGTTCAGTAAGTAAATACAGTTGATCTATATCAATTAGGTATAAAAAAAGAGTTTTTAAATATCAATACAAATAAACTATTATTAACTAACAAAATATTTAGTATTTCACATAATTATTTTTTAATATATTTAAATATTTTATTTCAAGATAATATAATTTAACTTAAAAAAATAATTTCATTTATAAATACTTAAATGAGTTTATGGACCCTTCCTTATCATTAGTAATATTATTAATGCTACATACCAAGATTTAAATTTTATTATTATTGTCCATGATTTGGATAATTATAAGGATTGCTATACTGGTTGTTGAAACCGTTTTAATTTGGCAGAACTTAGTTATTACTCACAATTACACCAGGAACTATTTAAGAGGAAACCTAAATAGGTTGATTGCTAACGTTTTGGTTTTAATTCAAAGTTTAAGCTACTTACATTTTTTTAATGAAAGCATTATTAATTATTTTTTAATTTGTTTATTTTACTATTCCTTTAATTTTTATTATTATTACTATGTATAAGAATTCCAAAATACCTGCAATTATTAAAGCAGCCAATTATAAGGATGCTTCACTGTAGATATAATATACATGCAAAGAAGGTAAATTTATGCAAGAACTATCATCTTTACATTAATCTTAAAGATATTTTAAAGCCAAATTATAAACTACTGAAGTTTCATCTGAATGGCTTATAGAACTACATATTGAACTATTATGAATTTATAAAACACTTATTATTTCACTACCACTATATTAGCCAGAGTGTGTAACATTATAATCTACATTGAAAATAATAATAAATAAAAAATTTAATTTAATTTAATTAAAATAGTTTACTGCAAAAAGTTTAAAGTATTCTTAAAAACTAACTTAATAAAGCAAAGAGGAAGATAGTTCCTATAATTAAGATAATTGTTATACTAATAAATGTAAAGATTTAACTACTACCATTCATATTACAGAGTATGTAAACAGTGGTAATTAGTAAAGCTATATATGTAAAAGAAAAAATAATAATAATCATTTGATAATTCTATTAGTATCCTTTCTAGTGAAGCAATAAAGAAGAAACTATAAATAGAATACCAAATATGCCTAAAATGCAACTAAAAGCATAAAAAATATTGAGAACTTTTTTATGATCTTGTCTGAATTAAGTTTTAAAGTCCAAAGGTTAAGATATTAAAAGTTGGTTTTCCATTTTTATTTTATAAAGATTTGATATTTATTTTATCTTTATTAGATTGTTATGAATTTAGTTTTTTTTTCAAAAAAAATATATCACGAAATGTATTAATATACATAAGAAAGGCCACATAAATTTACTTTTAATTAACTAGTTAGTATTAAATTTCTTTTCATATTGTTACAATTTATATTATGTACAAAATGTATACTTAGTTTCTAAATATTAACATATTAATTATATCTCTGATCATATTTCTTATCGGGGTCCAATTTCGTCTATATCTTTTCTTGATTAAAAAAATGCAAATACTTCTTATCTTATAAATTAAAAAATATGTTTATAATAAAGAAGAAATGTCATATACATTAACATTTAATTAAGTAAATTAGTATTCAATTTCATATTGTTAAAATTTATATTAAAGAAATGGTTAATAATGTAGTAAATAAAAAGTATACTCGTTTTCAATTTATGAATTTATTAATAATATTTCTTATCATATTTCTAATTAAAGACTAATATGATCTATATTTTTTTGATAAAAGAAAAGGCAAATATTTCTTATTAGATAAATTAATAATTATTTTATATGTTTATTATTTTGTATTCAATAAATAAATTAATAAATAAAATCATATCATGATTTAGTAATTTATGATTCATCAATTTTACAATCTAAAACAACTATCTGATCATATACCTAATATTTATTAATTATATTGAGAAATTATTATATGGATTTGAGGAAGTGATATTAATAAGTTTAAATATTTTTGATAAATATTTACTTAAATATAATAGAAAAATATTTCTGTTTTAGGACTAAATATCTATTAAAAAATATTAATACTAGTATTTAGTAAAATAAGTATGAATTAATAAAATCATTAATTCTATTTATATTCAAGTAGAAATATTAGGTGTGCCCCAATTTTTCAAATTTTCAACTCTAATCGTTCTTCTAGGGGTAAAATAATTTTATATTTAATTTTTTCAACATTTAAATAACTTTAGATATTAAAAAATTTTTAGTATGATAAAACTCAATAGTTTGAAAAATTCTGATTTATCTAAATTTTGGATAAAATAAGGAGGAAAATTGATGTGGTATCTGACTATCTAATATATTGAATTCTCACATAAAATATTTTACCCACTTCAGCCTGATCTGGACCTGGAAGACTGTGAATGGGAGACATAGGATAATTATGTCTGTCTAAAAACTTTTATAGGCAGTTTATTTGCTTTGGCCTCTTATCTTCCAAGACCAATCTTTTGACCATTGAAAAAGTTTGGATGAAGTATTTACTCAGATATAATGGTAATTATTTTATAGATTATATCTAATTTGTTAATTTCTTATTTAAATTAATAATTTGCATTTATTTATTTGCTAAAAAATAAATAGGTGATATTATTTTTTGAAGGGGTATGTTAAATAAAATTATTTTTTTTTATAAATTTGTTTATTATTCATCTTTCTGCCTTTATTTTATGAAAAGGAAGCAAATCTAATTTAAAGTTAAGTGACTTATTTGTTATTTATTCATTTAAAAATATAAGATAATATACATTGTTGTAATTAATTTTTATCCATTTTTTTAATAAGAAAATTTAAAATGTTTTTAAAAATTTTTGAAACAAAAAAATTACAATAATTTTAGAATAGAAAATCAAAATTAGAAAAAGTGCAAATGGCTGAAAAATTTTTAAATGTAAGAATATATCATGGATTGTAAGCTTAAGCTTATGCTCAAGCCAAAAAGATTATATTACACCACTAGTCATAGATAATCTCAATATCCTCTATTGTGCTTTTCTTGAGAGACTATTTTGCGATATGTGCCTCAAATTTACCTAACACCTTACAGTCCATAGTAAAATCATATTGAAAAACTTAGGTTAATTTTAAAGATTGGGATTAGCAAAAAGAAAGTAAGATATTTGGATAGGTTATTGAATTTATAGAAAAGCCATATTGTATTGTGAAAATTACTATGCTTTTTTCCAAAAAAATTAATTGAGAAGAACAAAAATATTATTTTTACTTTCAAAAAATAAGTTATTTTAATTAAAATTTTCTATATATTGGGCAAATTTATAAGTCCAATAAATGCAAATATTTCCAAGTTTAACTGTATTATTAATTAAATTTTTATAAATCAATAAATTAGCATAAATTTACTTTTTTCCATTTTTAAAGATTTAAAGAGCTAAATAATAAGAAGATTTAGCCAATAGTAAATTAATTTTTAATTAAGTTTTCACATTATTTAAATTAATTATAATAAGCCAGTTTAGTAAAAACAATAAATTTTCATTATTTATTTATAAAAAATTTTTGATTTTAAATATACTATATTATTGATAAATAACATAATTAAAGATTATATAATAGAAAAAAAAATTAAACTTTTTAATAGTTAAATAAGCTTTTCATCATTTCTTATCATTAGTAATACTGATATGAATGTTGCTAATTTTAATATTGCATACCAGGATTTAAGTTTTACTATTATTGTAAGTTGTTTGGATAATTATAAAGATTATTTTATTGGTTGTTGAAATAATTTTAGTTTGGCAGAGGTTAGTTATTATTCATACTTATAGGAGAGTTTATTTAATGTGGAACTTAAATAGGTTAAGTGTTTACATTTTAGTTTTAGTTTGGAATTTAAACTACTAATACTTCTTTGATGAGAGCGTTATTAGCTATTGTTTTATTTGTCTATTTTACTGCATTTCTAACTTTTATTATTACTACTATGTATAATATATCCAAAATACCTCCAATAATTAAAGCAGCCAATTAAGATGATGCTTCATTGTATATATAATATACGTGTAAAGAAGATAAATTTATGCAAGAACTAACACCATTGCATTAACCTTAAAGATAATTTAAAGCCAAATTATAAACTACTGAAGTTTCATCTGAATGGCTTATCTAACTACAATTTGAATAAATAGAACTTTATAAATGACTTACTATATAATAACCATCATAATAGCCATTATGGGTGATATTATAATCTATATTTAAAAAATTATCAATAAAATATAAATTTTAATTAAAATAATTTACTGCAAAAAGTATCAACTATCCTGTAAATCTAACTTAAAAAAGTTAAGAGGCAGATAAGTCCTATGATCAAAAAAACGAGTAAGCTAACAATTACAAAGCTTGAACTACTACCTTTCATATTACAGAATAGGTAAATAGTAATAATTAGAAAAGCTATCATAACACAAGATGTAATAAGTATAGAGATTTATAATTAATTATGGTACTCTTTTTAGTGAAGCAGTAATGAAGAAATTACAAAGAGAATTCCTAATGCACCTAAAATACAGCTAAAAGCATAAAAAAAGTTCAGAAAATTTTTATGAGTCTCTCTGAATTGAACTTTAAAGTCCTTAGTTTAAGATAATAAAAGTTAGTTATCCATTTTTATTTTATTTTATTATTTTATCTATAATTTTTATTTATTTAATCTTTATTATTTATAAGGAGTAAGCTTTTAAGCATTCATAAAAAATTTAAGATGAAATTAAAATACAAAAGAAATGTTGTTATTTTTCATTAATAAATCCCTATTTATAAAATTATTTGAAGAAAATTTAATTAGAGACCAGATTAGTAATGTTGTTAACAAAAGATATTCTTCTATTTGATATTTAGAGTTGTTTAATTAATTAAGCCTGATCATATATCTTATCAGAATCAAATTTAGCTAAAATTTTAATTTGTAAATTAAATGTTAAATAATTAATATTTAATAATAAAAATTCTTTTATATTTTTATTATGTAATCCCCAATTAATTTACTTTTAGCATTTATCAGGATAAAGATAATTAATTTAATAAACTTAATTTTTATGATCGTATACCTAATCTAAATTAATTTTTTATTCATTCCTAATTAAATTATAAGTATATATTAATTTCTAAAATAAACTCATTTTATTTTTCTTTAATTCAAAGAAAATTAATTTTTTTTTTGTAAGTTTTACTATTCTTCCTTTATCATGAAAATTATCCAAAAAATCAATTTTTATAAAATTAATTTTTAACTGATTTTAATTTTAAATACAAAATTAATAAAAATTAATTATAGTATTAGTTTACCAAAATTTTTAATCAGAATTTTTCTCATGAGCAAATTTTTTTTTCTGCCGTTTTCATATAAAATAGGTTATTTTAATTAAAATTTTCTATACATTGGGTATTGCTAAATATTATCAAATTTATAAGTCCAATAAATTCCAAAATATACAAGTTAGACTATATTATTAATTAAATTTTTATAAAATCAATAAATTAGCATAAAATCGCTTTTTTTCATTTTTAAAGATTTAAAAAAAGCAGATTTAACCTATTGTAAACTAATTTTTAATTAAGCTTTACATTATTTATATAAATTAATTATAATAAGTAAGTAAGCTCCAGTAAAAACAATAAATCTTCATTATTTATTTATAAAAAATTTTTGATTTTAAATATACTATATTTTTGACAAATAACATTATTAAAGATCATACAATAGAGAAAAAAAAAAAATTAAACATTTTAATAATTAAATAAGCTTTTCATCATTTCTTATCATTAGTAATACTGATATGAATGTTGTTAATTTTAATATTGCATACCAGGATTTAAGTTTTACTATTATGGTAAGTTGCTTGGATAATTATAAAGATTATTTTATTGGTTGTTGAAATAATTTTAGTTGGGCAGAGGTTAGTTATTATTCATACTTATAGGAGAGTTTATTTAATGTGGAACTTAAATAGGTTAAGTGTTTACATTTTAGTTTTAGTTTGGAATTTAAACTACTAATACTTCTTTGATGAGAGCGTTATTAGCTATTGTTTCATTTGTCTATTTTACTGCTTTTCTAACTTTTATTATTACTGCTATATATAATATATCCAAAAAACATCCAATTATTAAAGCAGCCAATTAAGATGATGCTTCATTATTTACATAATATACGTGTAAAGAAGATAAATCTATGCAAGAATTAACACCGTTGCATTAAACTTAAAGATAATTTAAAGCCAAATTATAAACTACTGAAGTTTCATCTGAATTGCCTATCTAACTACAATTTGAATAAATAGAACTTTATAAATGACCTATTATATAATAACCATCATAATAGCCATCATGGGTGATGTTATAATCTATATTTAAAAAAATTACAATAAAATATAATTTTTAATTAAAATAATTTACTGCAAAAAGTATCAAATATCATGTAAATCTAACTTAAAAAAGTTAAGAGGCAGATAAGTCCTATGATCAAAAAAATGAGCAAGCTAACAATTACAAAGCTTGCACTACTACCTTTCATATTACAGAGTAGGTAAACAGTAATAATTACAAAAGCTATCATAACACAAGATGTAATAAGTATAGAGATTTATAAATACTTATGGTACTCTTTTTAGTGAAGCAGTAATGAAGAAATTACAGAGAGAATTCCTAATGCACCTAACATAAAGCTAAAAGCATAAACAAAATTGAGAAAATTTTTATGAGTCTCTCTGAATTGAACTTTAAAGTCCTTAGTTTAAGATAATAAAAGTTGGTTGTCCATTTTTATTTTATTTTATTATTTTATCTATAATTTTTATTTATTTAATCATTATTCGGTTAGTCAGAAGTAATTTTTTAAGCAGTTGGTCACAAGAAATGTAAGATGAAATTAAAATACACAAGAAATGTTGTTATTTTTTATCAATAATAAATCCCTTTTCATATAATTATTTGAAGAAAATTTAATTAGAGACTAGATTAGTAATTTTGCAAACAAAAGATATTCTTCTATTAGATATTTATGAGTTGTTTAATTAATTAGACCTGATCATATATCTTATCAGAATCAAATTCAGGTAAAATTTTCATTTGTAAATTAAATGTAAAATTATTCATATTTCATAGAAAAAATTCTTAAATAATTTTTTAATTATGTAACCCCCAATTAGTTTATTTTTAACATTGACCAGGATAAAGACAATTAATTTAATAAGCTTAATTTGTATGATCGTATACCTAATCTTAATTAATTTTTTATTCATTCCTTATTAAATTATAAGTACATATTAATTTTTAAATCAACTAATATTATTATTCTTTAATTCAAAAAATATATTTTTTAAATTTTGAAATTAAATTCATCTCAAATTTTGCAGTTGAGCATTTATTCATTTGATGTAATAAAATATTTTTTAAACTAAAAATTTTTGAAAAAATGTAGTATTGTTTGATCATTTGATGGATTATATCATAAAATATAAATGAATTTTTATAAAAATATTATGTACTTTATACAGTTGATATTATTTTAATAGGATAATTATATTAATTAAAAGTTTAAAATTCGTTAATATAAGCTGCTTTATATGAGTTTACTTTAATTTTTTTTATAAAAATTATTTAAATTTTAATAAATTTTATAAAAATATATTTTAGTTCAGTCATTTTATTAAAGTTAATAATTTTTTTAAATCAAATTCTATAATCTCTCTTCTAGGTTTCCCATTTGATTAAGTTTATTTTATATTCTCTAAACTGTTTAGTCATATTTTTAATTTTATAAATCGCTTAAATAAAACTTATTTTCATCATAATTATCATAATTAATATCATTCAAATTTTATGGGTTCTAATTGAAGTATTGATTTTCATTAAACTGTTCGATTGGCTTATTTAAATTCTATGGATTTAATTATGAGTTATTATATTAATTAAACTGTGGTATATTTTAAGAGGTTGGGCTTGCCATAGCAGTCAATTCTGGATCTATCTAATCTGGCTAATCAAAAAACTTAAACAAATTCATTTCTGTGAGCTTTTTATATTTATTATTTTATAAATCTCCTCCTGTTTAAATAAATTCTTCAGAGTTTCCATTTTAATTATAGATTTATTGCTAATCGGAATTAGTTGGAGTAGAGCCTAACTCATTGAAAGTATATCTTTCTATGTATTAGTCATTCTTATCACATTCTTATTGAACTTAATTTATGGGCTTTTATATAAACTATTAGGGATGACTGAAACTAGCAATAGACTGCTTATCTGATTCTTCATTTATTACTATTTATTATGCATCTATTAATTTAATAAGTTTTTCTTTATTCTAAGATTCACTTTCAAATTAAGAAACTGGAGTATATGTATTATTTTATGTTAGGTGTTATTGATTTATTAAATCATTTGCTTAAGGAGACTAAATGTGAGGTTATATATTAATTTTATTTAATTAATGAATGGGTGAGTTGTAGTTGGTCATAACTGATGGAATTACTGGAGTTATTTAGATTTATGGAGGTAGTATCGTTGGGGGTTTAGTTATTCTTCCTACTATCGGAGAAAGAGACCTTTAATGAGTAGAAGTTATTACTGTTATTTTAGGGATAGGATTAGTTATTTTTTGATTCACTGGATTGATTATTCTAGAGAGCATAGGTGATGGCTTAATTGCTTATTTATAGTGATTGTTATTATGTTGTAATTGGTATTGTTTCTAATCTAAAATAAAACTATTTTCGTTTAAAAACTAAGAGTCATTTTGATTAATTATATTTATGTTCTTACTAGAGTAGTTATTGATGATGTTGTTATTTTATGATAAATTATTAGATCTGCTCTTGTTATTTAAGTCAGAATTAATTTCATAATTTGGCTGATTCGAAGAATTTTGAAAGAAATAATAAGAGGGATTCTAAATTTGTTAAACAAAGCTAGAATTATTAGAAACAGAAGTTTCATTATTAGCAATAGAAATATTGTTATTGCTATTTTGCTTTTAGAAGGGAGAGGCTTTAGATATAACATTACTTCTTTAGTTAAATTAATTTGTTTTATCAGCTAAAGTAATACGAGATTACTAACTGTTAACTTCTTTACATTCTGATTGTTTTGATTCAAATAATTATTCTTTGCTTTTTTGATTTATCATTTTATGGGTATTGAAAATCTCTTATTTATTCTAGAGTAGAGATGCAAAGCTTAGATTAGATTTTGAGCTTGGAACCTGGTTGTTATGTACAACAAACGAAGAGTTATTGCTTGTACTTCTAGCAGGTGAGACATTTTAACTTCTAGATTGAGTTACAAATGAATTTGCATTTTTATAATTTGGTTTATAATAATGTTAGAACTACTAGCTAGGACTTATAGATCTCTCATCAAACCGAACTTTTTGTGTTGGAATTTATTATTGAATTATTTAATTATGATAAATTTAACCTTAACTAGCATTTTAATTATGAGTTATCTATTAAAATTATTAGAAACTTACATTTGAAAGATTGTTATTTTTATTATTGTAAAAACTTTAATTGTTGCTATTTGTATATGTTATAAAGCTATTATTATGCGAGCTATTATTATCTACTATATATTTTATTAAATAAATAAATATTTTATGAAAAAGTTAAAATTACATTAAATATTAGAGGAGTAATTTTATATGCCATTTTCTTATTGCTATGGAAAAACTATTTGAGATGGATTTCTTTAAGTAAATTATTCAAATCGAGCACTTCTTTATTTTATAATAGGACTTACAGGACTTACAGATCTTGTATGGTAGTTATTACTGTGTTAAATTATATTAGGCGAATTTGGTACTTGTTAATTGAGGTAGTGAGTAGAAGAGTTAGGAGTCTGTGCTCTTTTCATGCTAGGCTAAGTTTATGAATTAGATTAAAATGGTGTAGGTGTCACTGCTGGTTAGATTGTTGAAGAGTGCATTTAGATTAATAAATCCTGCGCTGATGGTCTCTTTCTTGGATCCAAATTAAGCATAGATTTTATAACTTATTACAACTTATGGGAATATGTTGGACATATATTTTATAATCTTAAATCCATTTCCTGTGTATTGATTTTTTTCTTGTCAGTATCAAATAATTATGTAGAATCTTAAAAAGAGCAAAGTTCTAACAGAGTTAAGCCAAGTTAAAAAATATCACTTTAGAATTTATACTTAGACAGTACTTCTTCTTAATGGAAAGTCAGAGCATAAATTACTTCAGGTGTATAATAAGGTTTTCTTCCTTAAAATTAGCTTTTTGCCATTTTATAAACTGGATGTTCACCTAAGATTAAAGTTGCGTCATACATTTTAATACAGTTTTCATTTGTATCATGGAATATTGTACACGGTTCTATATTACCCATAACAATATCATATTTCTGTAAATACACTAAACAATTAAGAACTTCTGTAGCAATCCTGATTATATCTCCTTCAGGAAACCTCGAATTTAGAGAAATTCTTTAATGAAGAACTTGAGCCAATTAAATTTCAACATGCTCAAAAAAGTAAATTAAATTATTGCTACTTAGTCCAAATACTTCCATAAATTAATGCTCAAAAGCCAGTGCATTTAATAAATTAGGATGTCTTAAATCTTTTTACAGATATTTATTGAAAATTATTTTAACAATCTATTTAAGAAGATTTTAAAGTAGTTAATTAAATACCTATGCGCTTTTAAGGATCAGAGACAGGTAGTAAACAAGGAATACCTACCACTTATTTGTTAAAATGCTTAACTTCATAAATTTTTACATTTCCAAAAGATTTCATATACTTATCCCTTAAGAAAGTTATTTTATTATTCTAAATATGTCCTGTATGAGTTGTGTTCCCCATTAAGCCTAACAAACTAAGAATTTTCTTTTTATTATTTGTTTCTTTACTTGCTAATCTTAACAAATGAACTACTTTATGTGTATTTATAAAATAGGTTAATTACCAAGAAAATATTAATTTTTTTAAAAAGGTTTATTTTGTTTGTTTTTTTGTTAATAACAAATTACAAATTCAAAATGTTAAATTTTTTTTCGCTAAATGAATCTGCAAAATTAACAGCTAATTTATTTATTTAATTAATTAATAAAGTTTTCTAATATTTCAAAATTAAATAAATAATTAAAAACTAATTGCATTTTATATGATGAATTTCCTAAATATAGTATTGAATTTAATTTAAGGTTTTTATTATTAATTTTTATTCTAATTTTAATTTAACTCTTTCATTAAAATATTTTATGTAAAACTTAAACAAATTTGATTAAATTTGAAAAAAAAATTAATTAAAAATATAACTTTTTAGAAAGAATTTTAATTTTTGTTAAAAAATAATCTTTTGGAGGGGTCTCTCTTTATCATTTTATTTAAAACAGTGAGTTCATTTTGATTTGATTTATTTGATTTGGAAACAATAATTAATTTTTGATAAATGGGATTTAATTATCAATTAGAAATTTCTGAAATATTCATTTTGATTTTAGGCCCTAGTTAATTTTTAATTAAGGAATAATATTGGACAAGATACAAAAAGAAATAAATTAATCTTAACTTATTATTTATTTTGAGAGCTTTTTCAAAAAAAAATCTTTAAAAGATATTATAATTATAAAAAAAAATAAAAATCAAGCATATTTGTATTAATAAACAAGCAGATATAAATAGCAAGGTTCATATAAAAATCAATTCATAATTAAAATAGATAAAATGTTTGGTAGATTATTTGCCCATCAATCTAAGTTGATTGGAGCTGCTTAAAAATACTAGCACAGCAATATTTAATTTGCTAACAAGTTTAATGCTCTCTCCTTCAACCCCTACTATAATTTCTGCTTAAGAAATATTGGTATTTCAGCACATATCGATTCTGGTAAAACTACTTTTACTGAAAGAGTTCTTTTCTACGCTGGTAAAATTAATGCTATCCACGATGTCAAGGGTACCGATGGTGTAGGTGCTACCATGGATTTCATGGATCTTGAAAGAGAAAAGGTAAAAATTAAAATTTCTTTTGGCAAAATGATTGCTAGAATGATTACTCCACTCCATAAAATATATTTAGTTTAACAAAAATATATGAATTAACATGAAAATATTTTAATTGAAAACTTAAGTTATTTAAATTAATATCATTCTAAGCTATGCTTTTATTTGTTTTCCTTAAAATTTAAATAAATTTATTATGATAATATTTTAAAATATGTTTGTAAAAAAAAGGGTATTACTATTTAAAGTGCTGCTACACATTTAAAATGGGGCAATACCAGTATTAACGTTATTGATACTCCTGGTCACGTAGATTTTACTATTGAAGTAGAAAGAGCTCTTAGAGTGCTCGATGGTGGTGTCTTACTTCTTTGCGGTGTTGCAGGTGTTCAACCTTAAACACTCACAGTTTTTAAGCAAATGGTTAGATATTAAGTCCCTCGTATCATTTTCATTAACAAGCTTGACAGAATGGGTGCTAATCCTTGGGCTGCTATTGATAGTGTCAGAAAGAGACTTAACATCCACGCTGCTGCTGTCTAAATTCCTATTGGTATTGATCAAAGTTTAAAAGGTTTAGTTGATATTGTTGAAATGAAGGCTATTATTTTTGAAGGTGAAAGTGGTGAAATTTTGAACGTTTAAGATGTTCCTGCTAATTTGATAGAACTTGCTAAAGAAAAAAGACACGAACTTATTGAAGTCTTAGCTGAAATCGATCATCAAATCGAAGAAAAGTATCTCGCTGAAGAAGAACTCACTGCTGAAGAAATCAAGGCTGCTATTCGTAGATAGACTATTGCCTTGAAATTCTCCCCTGTTTTCATGGGATCTGCATTCAAGAACAAAGTAATTATTAAAAAATATTTTACGAAATTCTAATAAAAAATAGATGATAGTTTAAACAGAAAGAAAAAATACATTTTAAGCAAGCAAAATTAATTTATTATAAATTTAATAAATGATAGGGTGTTTAATTAGCCTTAGATGGTGTTAGAGATTATTTACCTAAGCCTGATGAAAGAAAGAACGTTGGATTTTTATAAAAAGAAGATACTCAAGCTGAAGAAAAGATTGAATTTATTCCTGATCCTAAACTTCCTTTTGTTGGTTATGCCTTCAAGCTTGAAGAAAGCAAATTCGGATAATTGACTTACGTTAGAGTTTACTAAGGTAAGCTTAAGAGAGGTGATAATGTTTATAATACTACTGTCAAAAAGAGAATGAAAATCTCCAGAATGATTAAAATGCATGCCAATTAGATGGAAGAAATTAATGAAGCTGGTCCTGGTGAAATTTTCGCTATTTTTGGTGTTGAATGCGCTACTGGTGATACCCTTTGCGAAGGTGATATGTCTTACACAGTAATTATTTATTAATTTAAATTCAGAATATTTATAAATAATTTTATTTTTATTTAGGCTAGATGCAGTAGTATGCACGTCCCAGCTCCAGTCGTTAACTTGAGTATTAAGCCCAAGGATAACAAGTCAAGTGCTAAGTTTAATAAAGCCTTGAAGAAGTTCTCTAGAGAAGATCCCACCTTCAGAGTTAGCATTGATAAAGAAAGTGAAGAAATTGTTATTTCTGGTATGGGTGAATTGCATTTACAAATCTATGCTGAAAGAATGAGAAGAGAATTCGACGTTGATGTCATTCTTGGTAATCCCACTGTCAACTACAGAGAAACTATCACTTAAAAGGCTCACTTTGATTATCTCCATAAGAAACAATCTGGTGGTGCTGGTCAATTTGCCAGAGTTATCGGTAATAAGACTATTTTAATATTATCTAATTAATCCTTACTATTAACTATTTAATTTAATTGAATTTAGGTTTTGTTGAACCAATGGTCAATCCTGAAGATCCCCAAGATTTTAGCTGCTAATTCGTTAACAAGGTTATTGGTACCAATGTTCCTAATGAATACGTAACTGCTTGTGAAAAATCTTTCTACGATGTTATTGATAAGGGTCCTCAAACTGGTTATCCTGTCGTCAACATGAAGTTTGTCTTAGAAGATGGTCAAACTCACGTTGTCGATTCTTCTTCTAATGCTTTCATGATTGCTACTAAATATGCTTTCAACAAGGCCTTCAATGATGCTGGTCCTGTTATTCTTGAACCTTTTATGAATGTTGAAGTTACTTGCGCCGCTGCTGAATATGTAAATTCACTTTAAAAAAATAAAAACAAAAATAAGAACTTTTTATTTAAAAAAATAGCAATCTGTTATGGCTGCCATTTCTAAAAGAAGAGGTTTAATTACTAACACTGAATCAAGAGGTGATATTTTCATTCTTAATGCTGACTGTCCTCTTTCTTAAATGTTCGGTTTTGCTACTGAATTGAGAGGTTTAACATCAGGTCAAGTAAGTTAATAGTTAATTTTAAAAGTAATTAAAAAATATAATATGAATAATAGGGTGAATTCTCTATGGAATACAAGAGTCATGAACCTATTGATCCATCCCAAGCTGAAGAAGTCAAGAAACAATATCAAATTAGAAGAAAGGATAAAGGTCAAGATTGATCAAACAATAAATAAATAAAAGAAATAAATAAATAATTTAATTAAATTTTAATAACGGCTATTAAATTAGATTAATTAATTATCTATCTCAAAGCTTAGCAACAAGTTTAAAATAAAAAGTTTATTTAGAATTATTCTTTAAAATTAATAATATGTTTTTTGTATAATATAAGTGTATAAGGGTAGGTAAAAAATTATCAAATTTAGTAGTTATTAAGTATATTCTATTTTTTTTAACCAATTTGATTCTCTCAAAAATGTTTTAATATATTTTTACCGAAATAATCTTTATAAACTTATTGTTTAGCTATTATTTCTCAAATCATCACTAAGAATTATCAAAAACACCTAAGCTAAAATTTTACAACACTTCTTTTCAAATTTTAAATTCTAAAAATAAAAAATAAAAAATGTTTTATATAATAGATTTATAAAAATGGACGATCTAAGATTTATAAATAGGTTTTTTTATATAATATAAGTGTAGATCAAAAATTTACCAAGTAAAAATAATTAAATATTTATTAGCTATTGAAGTAATTTAGAGGTAGTTAAAAATCAATCAAATAAAGAATTTGTTGAATAGCACATTATAAAATTAAAAACAACAAACTACATATTGTTTTATTCTAAAAGTGAGCAAATCTTAGAAAAAATTAAAATATGACAAAAAAATAATTTAAAATATTATTTTTAAGCTCATTGTTAATGTTTAAATATTTAATAAACGAGGAATTGATAGAACAAATTAAAACCATATAGTATTGAAATTTTTATATTTTAGATAACGAAAGTTATGCTTTCTCAATTCATCCAAAAGAAAGTAAAGTTTTTTCATAAAATTGAAACAAGATATTTAAACAAGAATTCTATTTAAATATTTAAATTTATTCAGTTTTAGTTTTATGCAAGTTATTCTTAAGATTCTTCTTCGTCATCATCATCTTCATCATCGTCATCATCATCATAATCTTCTTCTTCCTTTGCCTTTTTCTATGTTTTCTTAACTGTACCTCCTTCTTTGCTTTCTTATGCCTTAACAGCCTATATAGAAAAAATTTTAGGTTAGTTAAATATAAAATAATAATTTTTGTTAATAATATGCGTGTAAAATATCAACATTCTTTAATTAGGTTTAAAAAAAAAAATTTGATAGATATATTAAATTTCAAAATTAAGAGAAAGTGCTTTGTAAAAATTATTACTTCTCTATATTTATATAAGTATAATTTAAGTATGTCGTAGTAATTTTCAAAGCCAAGAGTTGTTATTGAGTGCAACAAATCTTCTCCATTTATAGTTTTTCTCTTTTCTGATTTGCATTTATCGCAAGCTTCGCTTGTAATAAAACTAATAAATTCAGATACACATTCTTACACAGTTTCTTTAGCATCTTTAGCTATCTTAGCATTTTCTGGTAATGCTTTTTTCATAATTCTGCTGATGTTTGCAATAGGCAAAAATCTGCTATAGTTTGGTACCTATCTGCTTTTAAAATAACGGTTTAAATATTTTAATTTTTAAATTTTCTTTTTGGTTTGCAAATCTAATTAAAACAAATTAATCTATTTTTAAGATATGCATGATTTTAAATCATTATTGAATTTAAGCTTTTGAATATAAATATTTTATCTCTTTACTTATCTTGCTATCCAGAATCTCCGTCCATTTGTTTTTTAGATATGTATAATTTTATTATAAATTTTAGAGCTTGCTTAATATTTTAAAAATATAATTAGTTTGTATAATCCTAAAGATATAGTGATTGCTTTCTACTTTTTATCTTAAGTTATTTATCAAATATATCTTTTTATTAAATTTCCCTTATGTGTGTCTAACTTTTCTATTTTCAATATTAATTATTAAATATATAAGGTAAGAAATAATTGGTCCTCGATTACTATTTATTGATCTTTATTAAAAACGCCGCCACAATAAAAGATTCATTTTATTTAACTTCTAATTATTTTCTATTTAAATGCTCACCGTTTGATATATTCACAATAAATAGCTTCAAAAATATTTTTGGTGAATCTCTTTTTTTAATAAAGTAATTTTTTTATAGACAAACTCATTATACAAGCCTGATTTAATTAAAAAATAACTATGAAGATTTCTTATATTTTGAATAAAATTGAGTGTTTAAAGGCCTTTAAATCATTAGGTTTCAATTTTTATTGTTAAAAAACAAAATAAGTAAATAAATATTGACTGAAATCTTTTTTTAAATTCATAATAAAATAAATATTTTTTAATGAACATTTATTCATCTAAGATTAAATTGACTTTCATAATTTATCTAAAAATATTACTTATTTTGGCCGAAATAATGCGTTTAAACCAATTTTAAATCTTATAAAAACTGATTTTCTTTATTATTGGACTTAAATAAAAAATAATAAATAAATTCAAATTCTTTTTATTATTTGGATTATTGAATTACATTTATCTAATTGTAAATATTAAAACTTTAATATATTATTTTTGTGGTTTATTGGATTTTTAAATTTTACAAATTTATTAAAAATATTTAAAATATAAGCTAGTTCATTTAATATTTTTTTCTATAAATTAATAATTACAAAATAATTTTAATAAATTTGTAAAATTTAATTAATATTCTAACAAGAAAAAATAAAAATTCTTTTTGATATAAAGGTAAAATTCACCTTTAATAATTAATAAAAATGGTAAAAGATAGAGTAGATCAATGATGATATTACAAATATTCTGTATATTATTTAAAAAATAAACTTTACATATTTAATTGATTTGAAATGGGTGTATGGATGAAGATGAAGAAGAAATTATTTTATTGAATATAAAAACAATAAGAGCAAGCAGCAAGTAGATGATTGAATAATTAAATTACACTAATTTTTAAAGTGTGCCATGTTAAAAATATATTATATAAATTTTACTTATTATTTGTTTTATGTGTTTACTTACTTTTTCCAATTAGTTTAGATAGATTTTGTTTTTTTTTGTATGTATGTAGGTATGTACTTATGTATATTTTCTTAGTATTTATTATTAAATTCTTATCATTTTTGATTCACTTTGATTGAAGATTAAGTGCTAATTATTTTTTTATTTTATTTTATTTAAAATGTTGCAATGCTTTTGCGTGTAGGTGGTTTCCATGCATAATTTGCCTTAAAAGTAGCTTTTAAATGAGTTTCAACTTCTATGTTGAAGGCTGTTGGTTTAGATATAGCATAAGGAGGATTGTAAACACCTGGTATTTAATGAGTACTGGCTAAATGATGTAAATTTGAAGCTAATTAAGTAAATTCTTCTCTTGCTTAGGCTTCTTATCTTTTCTTTTCTTCTACTTTTTCTTCATCTGCAATTTAATTCATTTCTCCTTAGAAGCGAGTGTTTTAGTCACCCAACTCCTACAAGAATTTCTTACGTGCATAGAAATCGTGAGTAAATTTCCTCTAGTAAAAGCCTCTAAATATCTTTTGAATAGTAATAGCCTGCTGAGAAAAGTACTTTACATTCATCAAATTAATATTATCCTCCTTCTTCTTTTAAAATTTCTTTCTCGATAAAAACCCTCTGAATCTTGTTTGAATTTTAATAACTGACTCTTTTAATTTTGTGAATCTCTATCTTAATGTAAACATTTTATAAATCGATTATATCTTTAAAGCACATTTGCTATCTCTATCCCAATATTTTTCTGTCTCACGCACTTAGAAGTAGTATTCTTCCTCTAGCTAAAATTATTTTTCTAGTAATTCCTCTTATAGTTTGAAAACCTTTTTATTCATTTTCTATGTATGTATTTATATATCAATCTATCCTCAATACCAAATAATTTATATGTATATATGAATTAAGTTTCACTCTTTTGCTTTATAAGTTTTATTTTAAAGAGTTATTTTTACAAAGAAGCAAAAATATTCATTATATTTAATCAAAGCAAGCAAATAACACTCATTCATTTTTCAAATCTATTCAAAATATTTAATATGTTAACAAATGAATAAAATTAATTAATTCACTAACTTTCCCCAACTAATTATTTCAAAAATAAGTTAAACGAAAAAGAACTTGGAAGAAATTTATAATTAAATAAATAATTAAAAAAAATCAAATCAACAAAAAAAAGAAATAACTTTAATAGTATGAATATCAACTTAGTTTTTAAAGCCATGTAATAGAATAAATTAAAAACATCACATTGATTATCGGTTACCTAGTATTAGGTAGATGTTTTTATTCTATTTCATTTTGATAAATGCACTTTATCATAAAGAAATACCAAATATCCCAAATAATTTCAACAGATATTCATAATTATTTTATTATTTCAATTTTTAAAATCGAGAAATATGAGATTGAAAAGCTCTCTCTTATTATATCGTAAAGTATTATCAAAAACAAAAACAAAAAAATATTTAAACTATCATGCTGCTACGCTTCTCTTTCTTTTAGATTTTAATAAAACCTCCTCTATAAAAATTAAAAATTAAAAAATATATAAATAAATAAATAAAAAAATAAACAAATAAACAAATAACTAAATAAAAAATTAATTAGCAAATATAAAAATAAATTAATTAAAAAGTAAAAAATAATTAAAGAAATTAAATGAAATAAAAGCATCATCAAACTTAAATAAATTCACATTTTTGTAATTTTACCTTATTTATTAGAAAAGAAATATCAAATTAAATTTCCTCTTCTTTAATATTTTTCTTAAACAAATATAGTATTAGATTAGGTCAAATTTTACTTTTTATAGATTTACTAATTATCTATATTTTTTTTATGTAAAGTTTAAGGTTATTTTTATTTGTAAAAATATTAATTAATCCTTATTTCCTTCAAGAAAAAATGAACATCAGATATAATTTGTTAATACTTTGTAACACGAATATATTTTTTAAAACTGACAATCTCTCAATTGGTTTATTATTTAAACATAATTTAAAAAGAAATTTATTGAGCTTATACTAACTAATTACAATAAATTACAATTCAGAATTATTTATTTTAAAGATAATTTATTTTTAGTCTAAATTACTAATTATTTATATTATTGTTCATTATTGTTATTGTGCACTTTTTATATAATATATTGTAAAAATTAATTAAATCAATATTCTGTAAGATTACGAACTATGCTAAATCTTTTTAAATTATTAACAAATTTTCAATTCTATTTTAATTGATATAAATCCTTATATTGAAATATCTGGCAACCTAGTTCATGAAAGTTTAATACCAGGAACAGCTATATATTTTTTTCATTAAACTAAAAATAAGTATTATAAATATATTTTAAGAAATGTTAACTGCTTTTATAAAATTTTTGCAAATTATTATTATTTTTTAAAGAAAATTTTCAAAATTCTAAAATTTAGGATAAAGTGTTTTAGTAAATTTTTTAATAAATTATTTTTAAAGTAATTAATCAATAACTTTAAACAATACTAAATCTTGTTTCAATTTGAAATTTTATTTTAAAAAATATAAATATTAAAAATCTTTGAATATATCAACAAGAACGGGTTATATATTAAAAATATGTTTATTTTTTGATAGCAGTTTTAACAACCCAAAAACACCCTGACTATAGATAAAACATTTATTTAATTTTCATTTGAAGTATACTTTATCATCAATTAGCACTTTGAATCCTGGGTTTTTATCTAAGAATTCAATCCAATTTTAAGAGTCAATAAATAAGAGTGTACAATTAGTTAATGCTTTTAGAGATGTATTGACTGCCTATTTTCTTTAAATAGATAAAGTCTCTCCAATAAATTCTCCTTATCTAACAATTTTAGCTGGTATATCTTATTTTTCATAAATACACTCTCCTTCTTTAACAATATAGATTCCATAAGGTTTTTCTCCCTTCTTCCAAATTTACTCAGATTTCAAAAATTTCTTTTCTTTTACTATCATTTCTAATATAACTTTTTAACTTTTTTCAAGCTAGTTGAACAAAGAATTCCTATATATTTATAAAACATTTAAAAACATAAAATTAAAAAGGATTTTTACTTTTCAAGATAAACAATAACGAATTTTTTTCTTGCTTCAGTTAATTCTTTTAATCTTTTTAGAACTTCACCAGAGCCATCTTCTTCTCCAAATAAAAATTAAAAGTCATGTCTTTCTAAAGTTAAAAGCACGCAATCTTTTTCAGCAAAAGCACTTTATAAATAAAATTATCAATAAATTTATTTGATTAAGAGCGAATTCAAGTTTTTAAAAATGGCATTAAATTGATTGTATGCAATAATAATATCAAAAGTTATTATGCTTTAAGCTTAATTAAAAGTGCTTATCTTATTTTAAAGAGATTCTTTTACAAGAAAAAATAATCTAAGATTTTTGCCCTGAAAGAAATGGCATAAATTTTTTTATTTAATATTAATTAATATACCTTGCTTTTCTAGTATGTGATTCATCGATAAGACTTATCTCTCCAAAATAATCTCCAGGACCTATAAAGCTTTCAAAATCTTTGTTATTTCTTGAGACTATTTTGACCAATCCGCATTCAACAATAAAGAATTTGTTACCTATAGAGTTTTCAGGGAAAATAAGTTCACCCTTTTTAACTTCTAAGATCTCTAAGCAATCTAGCAAATATCTAACATTTTTAATAGTTAAAGACTAGAATATATCAATATTAGATACAAGATCTAATCTTTTTAATTAAGTCATTTCTTTATTTGCGTTAGCAGGTATTAAGACAATAGTATGTTCTATTCCTGATTTAGCTATTTTCAATCCTAGTTCCTTTTTTAGGTCTTTATTTGCAATATGCACTAAGTATAAATTCTATTTAGCTTTAGCAGAAAGATGCATAAAAGATTCCTAGGCTGTATGAATAGGAGGTACGCCTGCTTCATGTAATATAAGATCAAACTTATCAAAATCAATATTTGCTAGTTATTGATATCTCTCTTGCTATAAGTAACCCCATTCAAAGTATTTTTTGAGCCTTTAAATTTAATATTATTTATTGTTTTTTTGTAATTTAATTTATTATAAGTGTAAACAAAAAATTTATGAAAAAATAATAAATATCTTTTTACTTAATTGGGCAGTAAAAAGTATCTGCGGAAAAATAGAGTGATTTTTTATTGAGCTCAATGTCAAATCCGATGCAAGGAATGACATGGAAAGAGTAGAAAAAGTTAAAGGAGCCACCAAATATTTTCATCCTACTTCCAATAACTACTGGACGGAACACAAAAAGCTTTCTAATTTCCTCTCTTCTCATACCAGTTACATTAGAATACTTACGCAAAAATGAATTCATTATGGTTCTAGTAGTAATTACCTTAATTAAAATATATATGATAAAATTAACTGATTTTACTAGAAAAAAATCAATTAATTGATAATTAAAAAAGAAAAAAAATTCAATTAGAGGATTAAATTACAAAATTTTCAAAATATTTGATAAATAAGTTACCTCTATTTTTTTTTCTAATAAAATTTTTTCAAATGCACCAGCATCGTGATCTGCATGACAGTGAGTGATGATAATTGCAGATATTTTATCAGGATTAATACCCATTTTTTTCAAGTAATCATTTGAGAATGGTGGAGGATCAACCATGATACCTTTTCCATAGCACCAAATTACAAATCCAGTTGTGTGGCCACAAGGGTCGAAACCTAATAATTTACAAAAAAACTTATAAATATTTTTTTATTGCTCAATAAAAAAAAATGTAAATTTATTATCAAAATTTTTAATCTTATTTGATTTCACATCAAGAGTAATCTTTTTTTTATCAAGAAATTTTAATTAAATTTACCATGACTGCTTCCCAAAACTGTAACACCAAAATCAGGTGGTTAAAAAGTATCTCTTATATTAGGAATTACTTCTAACTCCAAGCCAGAGCCAATTTTAGGGTTAACTTTTTTATTTGAATTTAGATCTTTCAAAATATCCTCCAAATCTTCTAGTGAACTGTGTCTATCCATTTTAAGCTCTTAGCAAACTAAATTACACTAATCCTTGATACTTGTAATTTCTTTACCATTATCGATTATTTTAAAGTAATTAACATCCTATTCTAAATTATGCACTCTCTATATCTTGACAACATTTTAATCTTACTTAAGTTCTACACTATTGCTATGGTCAAATAAACTAAAACTTAACAGAGTATCTACTTCCGTGTGAAAGCTAGGATCTTGAATAGCCTTAAAATAAAATTAAAATTTATGAAATTTTAAATTTAATTTTTTAATTATTCTTACCCCTGATAATATTGATCTCTCCTTGAAGAAGTCTGGATAACCTGATTTAGGATAAGAAAAATGGAAATCATCTTATAGTTTCTATATTTTAAAAGAAGTTCATATGAATGCTTAATTTTGAATTACTTTTCAATTTAAAAATCCTCAATTTATATTAAAAATGAGTATTTTATAAGATATTTATATATATTTGTTAAGTTTGAGTTTACATCATGGCTGAGGGGTCCGCAAAGAGTCTCTTAGAAAGCATTTCTAATGGCTGATTTGCATTCTGCATCACAAATCAAATTAATTTTTTTTTTGTGAATGAAGTAATTGTAATATGCTGGGAATTCAAACTCTGCAACATTTAAGTTTGCTTGCTTATCAAACCTTTAAGAGGGAACTATGAAATGAGTAGGAACTTTTAATTGCATATTAATTGAATCTTTAACAGTTTCAGGAGGGAATCCATATTGGATATTTCCAATTGAAGTCTTAATGATGATTCCTCCTCTTGGTAGGTTAATGATTGTTTGCTCTTTCTACTTTTCAATTTCAAAATTATAGACAATCTAATCCTACTTGCTGGGAGTGTTCAACAAAAGTATACTCTCTGCAAATGATTTTTCTAAGGAAGACTAATCTCCTCCTATAAAAGAGCAGGCCATTTTAATTCTTTAATTATAATTATATTTAAAGCTTCTATTATTTTTTTAAATTTAATTGCTTAATCAAACTTATATGATGTCTTTTAGCTAAATTATTTAATTCTAACTATTTAATATCAATAAAAATTAATTATGATGCAAAACGGAATATTTTTTGGATTTTTAAATATTAGAGTTGATAGCAGGTAGGTAGGTATGTATGTAGGTAGGCATTAGAAAAATTTAATAATATCAATAATGCATTTATTTCAATATAACTTTGCTTAAATCACTAATCATATTCATACTATTTATAATATCAAAGAAACTGGATTCTATCTGTTAAAATCTTAGATGTTATAGCTTCCTCTATAATATTAGATTTATTCATCATTTCTCTGAATTCATGCTTATGTTTTAAAATATGTTCAGTATACCAAGTAACTTGCTATGAAGGATTTTAATTTCCATATATCTTTAGAATTGTTATCAATCTTATAAATAAAAAATATGTAAACTAGTTGAGAATAGCATTTAATATTATTAGATTCTTCAAATTTATATTATTTAATTAAAATTAATCATCATACTTTTATTTTTTTATATAAAAATAAATTTGTAATAAAATAAATAATCTTAGAAAAATACTTTATTTTGAATAAAATTTTTATCAAAAAAAAACATTTTAAAAACACAAAAGATAATGAGTTTTATATTTATGATGGCTTTATTAAATTTTATTAAGTATTTTGAATGAAAATTTTATGTTTGCTTATTTTCGAATAGTATTTGGATAAGATGTTAAATTTTTTCGATTCATGCTTTTATTTCTAAAGATTAATCAGCCAAGCAGTAAATATTTGTCTTATCAAAACTTTAAAATTATTTGTTATTTGAAAATACTAAAATTCGAGCTTTTCAAATAAAACATGAACAGTAATTACTTTAATTTTTAATCTATAAGAAATATATTTGTGAGAATATTTACTTTTAACTCTTAAGTTTAAACATGTATTAGTTTTTCTATTTTATCTATCAGAGGAAAAAAGAGATTTATTTTTTTCCAAAAAATTAATTATATTTAATTAGATTTTTATTCATTTTATTAAAATTTA